TTTACAAATCATTTCCCTCACAACAGCCCTGTGAGCTAGGTGACACAAGCATTGTACCTCTTTTTAGAAGAGAAAAATGAAGCTCAGAGGTAAAGTAACCCACCCCATGGGCACACAGCTGCCAAATGGCAGAAGGACTCAAAGCCATGTCTTCTGACTCAGCGTCCTGGGCTCTTTCCATGGTGAAGAAAAGACAGTGTACAACCAAGAGTTGAGGACAACAAACCAAGTTCTGCGAAATGTCAGAGGAGAATGAATGTGATATGTCAATCAAGAAAGTTAATTAATTCTCAGGCTGTGCTGAAAAATACAGTGTTTAAGACTAGAGAGGTGGAGGCCTTCTACCCTGGTCAGACCACATCTTAAGTATGTTTAGTTCTTGGCACCATCTATAAGGAAAGACACTGATAAACTGGGGAGCATCCAGAAAAGCGCAACTAGGATGGGGAAGGGCCATTGAGTTCATGCCATAAGAGGATCAGTTGAAGAAACTGGGTATGTATGTTTAGCCTAGAAGAGAAGACTTAGGGGGGAGGGAGGAGGACATGATAGCCATTGTGGACTATTTAAAGTCTGTCAAGAAGAAGAGGGGTGAGACTCAGTCTGCTTGGCTGTGAAGGGCCAAGGAGCAGTTGGTGGAGATTGTAGAGGCAGATTTAGGCTGTATGTAAGGAACCCAAACTATCCAATTAGAACCCTACAAAAGTAGAATGGGCTAGTTTAGGAGATAGTGGGTTTCCCCACACTAGACATATTCGGGCTCGGTCTAGATCACCACTTGTTGAGTATGTTGTGAAGGGGATTCTCATTCAGGGACAGATTGGACTAGATGACTTCAGACATCCCTTCCAATTCTGGATTCTGTGGTTCTGTGAGAATCACGATATACAGACTCTTTAACAGGAAAGGACCTCAGAGGTCTTCTGATTTAACCCTTAGATTATGAACATGGCATGTCCATGGTAGAATGACAAGATCTGGCTGAGGTACAGTGGATATTTGGTGGTAATACTGATGATTTGTGTGAGCTTATTTTATGTCCTGCTACTTTGCTTAAGTTATTGTTTCAGTTAATTTTTAGTTTGCTCTTTAGTGTTCTTATATAGACTGTCATATAATTTGGTTTAGGTATCTAGGCCATGTTTCTATCATAGAAGGAGTTTGCTGTAGGTAGCATTTCTAGCACTGTAACAAATAATAGTGGTGATAATGGATATTCTGGCCTTACCCTTAATCTGACTGAAAAGGCTTCTAGCCTTTCTCCATTACATATAATGTTATTTCATGGTTTTAGATAGAAATGATATACCACATTAAAGAAAAGTCCATTTATTTCTATGCTTTTTAGGATTTTTTAACGTAAATCAGTGTTGAAATTTTGTCAGAACTTTTTTTTTCAGCATTTATTGGTATAACCATGTGGTTTTTATTATTTTTGTTAATATCATTATGTTTATAGTTTTGTTTATATTAAACCAGTCCTGCATTCCTTGTATAAATACAATCTGGTCCTGGTATTTTGGTCTCTTTGCAGATATTCTGTTTAATATTTTTGTGCCAATATTGTTAAAGATATTGATCTATAGTTTTCTTTCTCTGCTTTGTTTCTCCAGTTTAGGTATCTAGAACCTATTGTATCATATAAAGAGTTTGATAGGATCCTCTTTTTTCCTAACAGTTTTTTTTTTCAAATAGTTTATATGATATTGGAATTAATCATTTTTTGAATATATGACAGAATTCATCTGCTAGTCTATCTGTCTTGGGTTTGGGGTTTGGCCTTGTTTTTTTTGTAGGAGGGAATGTATTTTTAGCTTTTTCAATTTCTCTTTCACTAATTAGGTTATTTAAATTCTTTTCCTTATTTTTTAATCTAGGTATTTTACATTTTTGCAAGTATTTATCTGTTTCATCTAAGTTTTTAGTTTTGTTGGTATATATAGGTGTAGTTGTTTCTGATAGTTTCCTTTATTTGCTGTAAATACTCCTTTTTCATTTCTTTATATTGACAGTTGTTTCCCCCCCTTTTTAAAAATCAGACTGGTTATTTTATTTCTTTTTTTAAGCTCCTACTTTTATTTTTCAATTCAGTGGAGTTTTTTGCTTTTAGTTTTGTTAATCTCTTAATTGATTTTCAGAATTTCTAATTTGGTATTTAGTTGGGTTTCTAAAATTTGTTGCTTTTCCAGTTTTTTTAGTTGCCTTCCCAACTTACTGATCTGTTTTTTTTCTCTTTTGTTGATGAAAGTGTTTAGAAATGTACATTTTCCCGTAAGGATTGCTTTGGCTGCATCCCAAAGTTTTGTATGTTGTTTCACTGGTATCGTTTTCTTTGATGAAATCTATTACTTTTATGTTTTCTTCTTTGACCCATTCTAACTAATATATGATTCAGTTATTTAGGGTAGGTCAAAAACAAAGCATAGAAATAATAGATATAGGTTTAGGATTAAATTATTTAGTCTCTAATTGATTTTAATCCTTTCTGCAAAAGTCCTTTATTGTTTGTAATTTTTGTTGAATAGTGACCAGTAAAGGGTGTGTTTAATATTTCTGCTTTCTTGCATTTGTTTGTGATGTTTTTATGCCCTAATATAGCAATTTTTTGTAAATATGGCATGCATTGCTAAGAAATATGTAATACTCCTTTCTGTTCCCATTCAGTAATTGTCAGAGATCTTTGAAATCTAACTTTCCTAAAATTCTCTTCAGGTGGTTGACATCTTATCGCTTATCTGGGCAATTTTGTTATTTCTTGAAATATGCTATCCAGGCTTATTTTTTGGTCATCATTTTTAGGTAGTCTGATAATTCTTTTATTATTTCTTCTTGACCTCTTTTTCCAGGTCAGTTGTTTTTGATAGTATATAGCTTACATTTTCTTCAGTCTTTTGATTTTGTTTTAATATTCATTTTTGTCTTATAGAATCATTGCTTTCTGTTTAACCCATCTTAATTTTTAGGGAATCTGTTTCTTGGATAAGGCTTATCACTTTTTCTTATAAGCTATTAATTCTCCTTCCCATCTTTTTCATCAGACCTGTCATTTCATTTAAAGTGGCATTTTATATTTCTTGCTTCATTTGATCCAGGCTCCCCTCTAGTGTTTACAGCCAAGCCCATTATTTTTTTCTGACTCATTACTTGAACTTATTGTAATGTTTCTCTCTTCTTCCATTTATTTATTTTTTTTTTAATTTTTTTAAGGCAATTGGGGTGCCCAGTGTCACATGGCTCGTAAATGTCTTAGGTCACATTTGAACTCAGGTCCTCCTGACTCCAGGGCTGGTGCTCTATACACTGCGCCATCTAGCTGCCCCTATTTATTTTTATTATTTTTTTTAGGCAATTGGGGTTAAATGACTTGCCCAGGGTCACACAGCTAGTAAATGTCAAGTGTTTGGTCTGAGGCCGGATTTGAACTCAATACCTCCTGACTTCAGGGCTGGTGTTCTATCTACCGCGCCACCTAGCTGCCCTCTCTCTCTTCTTCTAGATTTACTTCCTGGGTATCTCTCAATCTGTGGTATTTCTTCATTGTATTTGGCATTTTATTCTGTTTAATCATATCTCTAGCCTTAGTTTCTAAGTTGGGACTTTGTGCTTAAGTCAGACTCTGTTCTCTCCCATACTCTTGCAAAGAAATAGGAAGACCTTGCTTGATCTTAGATGTGGTGGCTAAGACCAGGCCTTACCCTGTGCAGGAATCCCTGGGTTTGAGCTTTGTCTCGTGGTGGCCCAACTTGGATTTTGACCTCAGCCCCTTTTCTGTCACCTTCTGGATGCCCAGTTTTGAATCCAGAGCTGGCTCCATCTTTCACTGTAACCCTGACAGGTCTCAACCAGATATTATCAATTAGCTGGTTGCAGGTGTCCTGCAGGACTCCAAGTGATTTGCCTTCCAGGTGATTTCCTGGCCCTTTCTCCTGCTGTAGCTTCTGCTGTGATTCTGGTGTAGGCAATGGGTTGGCCCAGTCCCCTGCTGTGGCTCCAGACTGCTTGTGTCTGTGCCTTCCACCTCCCCTGGCCTGTTTTGCTCAGAACTTCGGCAGGTTTTTGACAGTCCTGGATTGGATGAAGGAGCTTATAACTGCTCCTTTTTTGTTCTATTTCTCATTGTTCTGCCACATTATAGAGCTTTATTGGAGGGTTTTGTTTTTTTGTTTTTGGAGGGATGGGGGTGGGGAGATACGGGCTCCCAAGTATTCTCATGATGCCAATTTATCGGGAGTTCTAGAGGATGTGTCTGGGAGAATGATGGGAGATCAAATTTGGTAGAGCAATTATTCCAGCTAACTCAACTCTCTAAATCTCAGCAGCCCTAGAGGCCTTTCTCCTGGGGTTGGAGAGTATACATTATTTGGCTATTGTCCCCCTGACAAGACCAAATCACTTGGGCCTGTTATTTTAAGGATCGGATGGGTTTTAACCACGGGTCCCTTAACTCCAACAGGGCTCAGCTAAGAGGCAGACAAGAATTAGCATCTTGGGGACAGATTTTGCCCACTACCGAGCCCATTCATTTGTTCACTAAACATTTTTTAAAATCCCTGCTCCATGCAAATTCATTGAGTGGATATAGACCCTCTGACACTTATTAACCTAGTTGCCCTGGAAAAGTCACGATTTCTTTGTGCCTCAGGGAATACTCTAGGGCTGGTTATGGAGGGATTACAATTTGCATTTGTGGAGGGAGTTCCCACATCTGAAGTTCCCCACAATGATGAAATAGCAGGTCCTTCATATTTATGTATGCAGAATGTAATATGCTTTGTACTAGAGAAGATAAAAAGATGAATAAGGTATGATCTCTCCTCTCAAATGACCTTATAGTCTAGGAGGGGAATACACACACACACCACACACACACCACACACACACACACACACACACACACACACACACACACACGGTATGTTGACCCATGGAAAACAGTACTCCTTGGCTGACTCCAGGGAGTCCCTTTCTCTCAGTAACTGTGCCTTTTTGTTTTTTTATAGGTCTCTGATCCCACTGCTCGATGCAGACTCTGGGCTCCTAATCCTAGGTGGAAAGGTGAGTGAGAATCAGAGATTCTTTAGGTTAAAAGGCACCTTAGAATTCATTTAAGGGAAATCCTGTGTAAAACATGAATAGCACGTCAAGGAGGCTTGACTTGAGTGAAAGGATACATGTTGAAGAAGAATGTTGGGCATTGGTTTCCCAATCAATCAACATTTATTAATGTGCTTCATACACTATGTGCCAAGCGTTGTGCTAAGCACTAGGGATACAAAAAGAGGCAAAAGACAACCACTGCCCTCAAAGAGCTTACAATCACGAGAGACACCATACAAATATATACAAAGCAAGAATATACAGGATAAAAAGGAATTAACAGAAAGAAGGCACGAGAATTAAGAGGGTTGAAGAAGTCTTTCAGTAAAAGAAGAGATTTTAAATTGGGACTTAGGCAGAGTGGAGGAGGAAGAACATTCCAGGCATGGGGGACAACCAGAAATGGAGTTTCTTGTTTGTGAAACAGCCGGAAGGCCAATGTCACTGGATGAAAGAGTATGTGTTGAGGAATAAAATGTAAGAAGACTGGGAAGGTAGGAGGTGGCTAGTTTATAAAGGACTTCGAATGACAAACAGAACGTTTTGTATTTGCTCCTAGAGGCAATAAGAAGCCACTGGAGTTCGTTGAGTAGCTGTCACCCTGAGCTTTAGGAAAATCACTTTCGTGGCTTAATGGAGGATGGATTGACGTGGGGAGAGACTTGAAGCAGGGAAACCCACCAGCAGGCTAGTGCAATAATCCAAGTGTGAGATGATGAGGTGATGACAGGGTCAGAGAAGGGGGCTTATTCCAGTGATGCTGCAGAGATAAATTGGCAGGCTTTGGCAAATGCTTGGATATGGGGAGTGAGAGATAGTGAGGAATCCAGGTTGACTCTCAGGTTGTGAGCCTGAGGGCCTGGGGGGATGGTGGTGTCCTCTAAAGTAACAGGAAAGAAAGGTAGGAGGGGAAGAAGGTTTAGAGGGAAAGATGATGAGTGTTATTTTGGATATATTGAATTTAAAATGACTACCAGACATCCAGTCCTGATGTCTGAAAGGCAGTTGGAGATGCACGATTGGAGGTCAGAGAAGAGTTTCCGTTAGGATAGCAGGACTTGAAAATCATTAGCATGGAGATAGTAATTAAATCCATCCCAGACAAAATGTGTTGGCCCCCACCATGTTTTCTTACCCTTACTAGGAAGGATCACTTCCCTTTCATGCCTACACATATCCTAGACTGCCCAAAGGGCTCTCCCTATTACTTTGGATTCTGGGGGCCTCCATCCAGGTCCTGGGCCCATAAGATCCTTTGGGAGGTGCTATGGGCCAGAATGAGTGGGTGGGTAGCTGGGAAGGTAAAGGCCTAAGAGGCCAAGGATTCAGGAGCTATGGGGCTATGTTGCAGAGTGAGAATCTGATATACTGCTATGAAGTGTCACTGCAACAGGCCACACTGACCCAATGTAAGTGCCCTTCCCCTTCAGTCTTTCTCCCTTTCCCACTCTGCCCCACGTTTCCTTCCCCTCTCTGTTCCTGACTTTTAGTCCCTTCCTACCTTGATCTCCCTCCCCATAGCCCTCTCCTTCCCACATCCCTGGATTAGACCATGACCCATGCCTGGGCACCTTCCAGTGAACCAGTGTGTCCTGGAGACCAAGTGCCGGGGAATGGCCCTGGTACCTCGTCGGGCACTGGCTGTCCTGGCTTGTGAGGTGCTTCGGGTGCTGCAGCTCAGTGAGATTGCCATCATGCCCATCAGCTATGTTGTGCCCCGAAAGGTAAGGAGATCTCAGGCTGGATTATGCCCCTCACACTTCTTCACTGGGAAGAGATGGGAAGAGGGGAGACCTTTTATTGGGAACTGGGGGGAAAGAATTTCCTGGGATCAGGCAGAAGCAGGCTGGAACATTAGTGTGAAATTGTAATGGCTGAATGCTCATTTGTCCTTCCAGTCTGTAGAATTCCATGAAGACTTGTTTTCTGATGCTGTTGGCAGTGTGCCTGCCACCACTGCCCAAGGCTGGTGGGCTGGAGACAACCAGCAGGTGAGCTGTTAACCCAGAAGCTTTGGGCTGTTTCAGACACAATTTTGCTCCCTTCTACCTTGTACAGCTTGAGATAGCTGTCCCCTTTCCATACTTCCCTTTCTAGGGAACTAGGGAAGCACCTGAGAGGGTATTCCCGGGCATGAATGCATGCCTGCTTAAAGGGACTGGGGAGGAGAGTTTTTAATTATACACAGCTATGCCCATCCTGATCCCATGGCCAGTGCTTTTTTCTATGCCCTGGCCACATGGTATAGTCTCATGCTCTTCAGCATCCTGGAACTCTGGTCTTGATTAGTCCCACAACCCCACCACACCCCACCTCCCTTCATGGGCCCAGCCCATGATTTCACTCTCTGGGACCCTTTACACAGGTGCAGAGGATTAGTCTGAATCCAGCCCACCGGCGTCATACTAGCTTCACTTCCTGCCTGGTGCCCACAGAACTTTCTTCTCCCACTGCCACCCAGCTTCAGGAGGTGCCAATGAGTGACACAGACCCAAGTGTAAGTGCTACTAACTTCCCCTGATTAGGCAATAGAACTTGGAATGGACTGCTGAGAAAGACAGGACCTGGCACTTAAATAAGCCTGAACCCAAACAGTCAAGGACCAAAAGCCAAAGGATGAGAGGCAAGTTGTGTCCTGAATCCTGAGGAGTGTCTGCGTATAGCCCAAATCCTAGGTCAGGAGTGCAAGACTCCAGAGTTCTTTCTGGTTTGCCTCCATGTTCACTGAAACTGTGCCTGGTCATGTTTTGAACTGACTTTGAGGACTGATCCATTCTGAACAGGTAATGAGGGACCCCCGTTTTTCACCTGCAGGGGTGAAAGAAGGAGTGTCTGAGAAGCCAGAAGTCCTCTGAGCCTAGCCTTTTTTTCTCTCTCCTCTAGGAGGGCAGCTTCTCCTCCCCACCTAGCTCTCTCACCTCACCCTCCACCCCTTCTAGTCTGGGCCGCTCACTCTCTAGCACCAGTGGCATTGGCACCAGCCCCTCCCAGAGGTCACTGCAGAGCCTCCTGGGTAAGTTGGAACTGGGAAACACTGACAGCTCCTTGAGCAGGAAAGGAGGGTTAGAAGAGTATCTGCAAACCACCTAGAGCTGGGCCATACATCTCTGACCTGGCTGTCACCCTGGAGATTGACTCCCCACTCTCCAGCTACTCACCCTGTAGGCATCCATTCCTTGGGCACATTGTGCCTTCATGTTGTTCTTGTGGGATGTGGAAAGTCAGTTTGCCTGGTCATGAGCAAGCAACCCAATGTCATATCTTCCAAGGTATTTTTAGTTCTATTTTCTCATTCATTTATTCCTCCTAACACCTCTTTGAGGGAAAGAGATACAACAGGTAGTATTCCCCAACTTGACAGAAGAAACTGAGACTCAGAAAGTGAACCATTTCTGTCCTAGGTGACACAGGTTAGTGACTAAGCTGAGATATGAACTCAGACTTCTGGGGTCCATTGTTCTTTCCAGACCAGGCTCAGGGGTACCTGAAGAAAAGATCCCAACCTGGGAGGCCTACAGTAGGAGAGTTGTCCCAAAGGGATGCATTTTATTTGTTGAATTATTTCTTAATATGTTTCTTTATACCTCCTTGCTACCCTCCCAATTCTTCTTCCCCTTTTCCTTAGGCCCTACTTCCAAGTTCCGCCATGCCCAAGGTACTGTGCTCCATCGTGATACTCACATCACCAATCTCAAGGGACTCAACCTCACCACACCTGGGGAGAGTGATGGGTTCTGTGCCAATCGCCTCCATGTGGCTGTGCCCCTGCTGAGCACAGGTGGGCAGGTGGCTATTCTGGAGGTGAGGAGCTATGAGAAAGGAACCATCTGGCTTCAGTTTCCTTACTACTCGGCTGCTCCTTTCATCTCTCTCCAGCTAACCCACATAGGGTCCTAGAGCCAGCCGCAGGGCAAATCCCTGGGGTGAGAACTAGTCCCAAGCAGGAGTAGGAAGTGGGAAGGGTTAATCTTCAGTGTCATACCCTGGGCTCCATTCCCTGTTCCTCTTCCCAGTGCCCCATACACATACATATATCTCCCTCTACTCCCTGTCCCAGATGCCTAGGGCCTTTCAACACTTGATCTCACCAAACATGACAGTGATTCCCTGCTCTCTGCTTGGTGGCAGTAGGAGATGAGGGGTTACTCACAGATGCTGATTCTTGCAAATGCCTTGACCAGCCTAGGTGCTGTCCCTCCCAGAAAATGATGTTGCTTTATTGCATTTACAATGCACAAGGAGCTATTAGCAGTTACAATAATTGGGGGAGTGGGTGGGAGGGGTATCTATGGGTGGGTCTTTCAGTGTCCCTTAGATATGCCACTTGACTGCTAGATCATTACTCTACCCAGTGTGCCTTTAGGGGGTAACAAGCAATTGTCCCTTGTGCCAACCTCCCTGAATATCACAGTTGGGGAAACTTATAACTTATGGTTATAAGTAGGGCATGGACAGTGGGTAGTTGAGGCAGAGAATTTGAGCTATCTGTGTGGTTGGGAGGATCTGGACTCTGGGATCCCATCCCAGCTCAGGTCCCTTCCCTGCTGAGCTTTAGGCAGGGGCCTAAACATGCTTGCTTGGCTGTCGACACTGAGGGTTCAGGGTTGGAAGGATTGCAGGTGCCTTTCTTCTGCCTGGCACTTATGGGCCCTGGGCATGGGCACCTCATATTCCAGCTGCGGAAACCTGGCCGCCTGCCTGACACTGCACTGCCCACGCTACAGAATGGGGTGCCTGTCACTGACCTCACCTGGGATCCATTTGACCTGTACCGCCTTGCTGTGGGTAAGGGAGGGTCAGGGCTCCCTGTTTGGAGCTTATCAGACACACATTGCCCCTTGGGGCTGATTCTCTTGTTTCCCCTGATTGTCTCTAATTACCTCCCTAGCCACCCTCTGAGCTTAGCTTATCTCTCTCTCTCTGCACTGGCCTTGATATGCCATAGCTGAATCCCTGGGCTCCTCCCTTACTCCCCTGTGACCAGTCTAAATCAAACTTTTCTGTGGGTAACAGGACAGAATTTGGAAGCTCAGGAGGATCTGGGGAGGGGGACAGGGTTTCTGACTGGATAAGGCAGAGGCTAAGCACCCTGGCTGGTTCACCTCCCCTCCTGTCCACAGCTGGGGAAGATGGCCGGATACGGCTGTGGCGGGTTCCCCCTGAAGGACTGCAAGAAGTTCTGACAACACCTGAGGCCATACTAACAGGTGAGACAAGGAAGATGGAGAAGGGTGTGGGATGTAGCAGAGCAAAGGAGAGGGAGGTGTGAGATGAGTTAGACAGAGGGCAGAAGGCAGGGTGCCTCAATCATCACATGATCCTGCTTCCCTGACCTCTCCTAGGCCATACAGAGAAGATCTACTCCCTGCGCTTCCACCCACTAGCATCTGATGTGTTGGCCTCATCTTCCTATGACCTGAGTGTGCGGATCTGGGACCTGCAGGCAGGGATGGAGAAGATAAGGCTTCAGGGTCATAGGGATCAGGTAGGAAGAGGTCAAAGGGTCGGGGGGGGGAGATGACAAAGCTTGGGAAAATGAGACATAAGGACCAGATGATCAGGGTCTACCATTCAGGTGGGGATAACTGTTGTTCAGCTCCACATCATCATCCTAGTTGGGTAAAAGCAAGGGACAGCAAAGAATTTCTAGGTGGGGCAGAGCTGGGGGCATTCAGACCATCAGGGTCTGGAATGTTGGTTTTGGACCCCCAAAAGGGCAAGAGCAAGCCTGTACTTCATCCCGGTGCCTCTCTTCCAGATCTTCAGCATGGCCTGGAGCCCTGATGGACAACTCCTGGCAACAGTGTGTAAAGATGGGAGGGTTCGGATCTTTGATCCCCGGCGTAGCCCAGAACCTATCCAGGTGAGAGGACAACAGGGGTTGGGGAGGATAGAGAGGTCATTGGTCCCACCCAAGTCCTGTCATGATCAACTCAAGCCAACTGGATCATACTAGTTAAACTCTACCTTACAGGAGGGTCCTGGCCCTGAGGGAGGTCGAGGAGCTCGCGTGGTCTGGGTGTGTGATGGCCAGTGTCTGCTGGTATCTGGTTTTGATAGGTAAAGAGTCCCATTATGTTCTAAAACCTCCAACTCCCCCCAAACCCTTCTTTTGAAAAATCATCTCCTAGCTACTAATCCAATCCCTACTGAGGCTTCCAGTCCCCAGGTCCTCCTAGTCCTGATCATAATCATTTAAGACACATTAAGTGCGTACTCGGTGTTAGACACAATGTTTGGCATTGGGGAAATAATATAGATTAGTAAATAAGACAAAGCCCATGGAGTTACAATGTAGTAAAAGAGATAAAGCATGTACACACCTGTAGTATGAAACAATTCTTTGATCAGTGCTATGGAATTTGCACAGATGAAGTGCTAAGAGAGGACAGGAGAATGTCTGGAAGGAGCTAACATGAGCTGGGCACTGAAGAATAGGCAGAGATGGGGGGCCTGGCCTTCCAGGTACAAGGAAGAGCTTGGGCTTGGAGTGAGGTATACTCAGAAAATGGTGAGTAGTCTAGATTGACTGGAAAATACAGAACATAAAGAGGATTACTGGGAGATGAGGCTGGAAGAGTAAAAGTCAGGGTCACATCGTAGAAAGAAATGCCAAATGAAGGAATTTTAACTTAATTGTTTAGGCAACAGGAAGCCACTGAAAGTTTTTGAGCAAAAGGGTAGGTTAGATTAGATGATCTGTAAGGTGCCTTCTGGGACTCATAGTCTGTAATTCCAAAATCTTTAATAGTTTGGTTTTTTTTTTTTTTTGAGGGGGTGGCTAGGCAATGGGGTCAAGTGATTTGCCCAGGGTCACACAGCTAGTAAATGTCAAGTGTCTGAGGCTGGACTTGAACTCAGGTCCTCCTGACTCCAGGGCCAGTACTCTATCCACTGTGCCACCTAGCTGCCCCTGTTTTGTTTTTTAAGGATTATGAATATGCTAGTATCATACTGAATGGATTAGAAGGTGTAAGGAAGACGTCTAAAAATTACTGCAAGATTTGAGGGCCTGAACTAATTTGGGGGCAGTGGGAATTTTGGAAAGAATGTATTCTAAAGGCACTAGAAAGGAGAAATTAACAATTCTCAAACCCAAGTGTCCTATACCTATGCTTATCTTTTTCCCTCATGTTGCCCCTCTGAACCCCGCTTCTGTTCTTCAAGTTCTGAGGCCCTTTTCATGGTTATCATTGCAGCCGGAGTGAGCGCCAGCTTCTCCTGTATGGGGCAGGATCATTGGCAGGAGGCCCTTTGGCTGTACTGGGCCTTGATGTGGCACCTTCCACCCTACTGCCCAACTATGATCCAGATACTGGTCTTGTCCTTCTCACTGGCAAGGTCAGTCTGGGGTCTGGCATGTGTACATGGGCTGGAGTGGTATTGGGTATGCTCTCTGGACTAAGAAAGATGGTTTACAGGAGGGTAACAGGAATTACTGGAATGGGGAGACCTAGGCTGGATGCTGTGGTGGGTCCTTGGGGTTAAATGATTTAACCTAGGTCAAGTTAAGAAGAGAAGGCTGTAGCATTTTCTCAGTTCCTTCCTACTACCAGGGTGACACACGAGTATTTGTATATGAACTACTCCCGGAGGTCCCCTTCTTCCTGGAGTGCAACAGCTTCACCTCATCTGACCCCCATAAGGTAAAGGTCCTCTTTCCATTCTGCTCTGGGCATCCCCCAGTCCCTTTTCCCATCCCTAGGTGATGCAGCCACTTCTGGGATGTGCTCTGAGGCCCCTGTTTCCTGGAATGAAGTGGAACCACTCCATGACCCAACACTGCCCTCACAAGAGGGCATTAACCTAGTCAACAACTACAAGGCCTGCAGCCCTGATCAAAGAGTTGATAGCAGGGAAACCATGCCCTCTAGTGGTCATTTAGGGAGGTGGGTTCTGACCTGGACGAGCCAGGGAGCAGGTGTTGATCTCTGCAGAAGAGGAAACTGGTCGGTGAAGTCCCGCTGATGCCTGGCTAGTGGCTGACTTCCTCTCAGAGCCTACTGGAAGGAGGCCTGCTACTTCTGACGGGTAGGGAAGCACTGGGCAGCCTGGCTTACCTGGCTTGCTCTGTCCTGAACTCTAACCCTTGCCTCTCCTCCTCACCCCCTGACTCAGGGCTTTGCTTTCTTACCCAAGACGGAATGTGAGGTACAACAGGTGGAGTTTGCTAGGGGCCTTCGACTCCGTCAGACTTCCCTAGAACCAGTTGCCTTCCGACTTCCCAGAGTCAAGGTGGGTTGGGGAGCCAAACCTAATCACAGAAAACTCTACCATCTAGTAATCAGGAAAAACCTGCTTACCCCCACTACCAAAAGGTGACATCTGCACCCCTGTGCTCATCTCACCAGATGCCTCGGGATCATGGGGATTCCCTCAGCTGCCACTCCCCAGACTAGAGGGGAAGGAGCCTGGACCCCTCAAGTTGCCCACAGCAAACGTAGCTTCCTGTAGCTGTCTATGCCTTTGGCCATGCAGACAGTATTTCAGTGTCACTACTCCCTACAGAAAGAGTTCTTCCAGGATGATGTGTACCCAGAGACTGCTGTGTGCTGGGAGCCTGCACTCAGTGCTGCTGCCTGGTTGGGAGGTGCCAATGGACAGCACCGCCGCCTCAACCTCCAGCCCCCAGGAATGACCCCAGGTGGGACGAAGGGCCAAAAGAGCTGGAAGGTTTGGGGTCAAGAAGGGAGGGAAGAGCCTCAAGAAATGACCAGAAAGGCTCAGGATGAAATGAGTGGACGGGGTTAATGAAATGGGCTGTTCCAAGAGCCTGCAGAAGGTGGGGCTCATTCCTTAGTTATTCCTGTTGAGCACAGGAAAGGAGTCAGCCTGCTAGACATACCCTACATTGTTCTTGACATCTTCCTGTGTTCCCATCCATGTGTATTGATTCTTGGACTCATCGGTAAGATCTTGAAGGTGCCTTTTGCTTATTTTCATGCCCCCACAATGCCCCACACTGTGTTTCACACATATCAGAGCTTAAATGATTATCATTGCTCCTGTCCCCCGTAGATGGCTGTTGCCACCATAGGGCAAGCTAGTCCAGCATGAGGACAGTCACCTCATCCGCTAGGACTTCTCCAGCGCCAGTTATGTCAAGAATGAAATAGTCAAAGAGAGACTACCAGGTCCCACAATTGCTATTTCCCATTCCAATGCAATAAAGGTTTATTAAGTACCTACTTTATACAGAATGTTGTGCTGGCCACAGAAATACAAAGGTTAGGAAAGAAATGGTCCTTTGCTTTAGATTAATAAGGGGATAAAAAACCAAACCAGCAAGGTATAACACAATTATTACATCCACAGTGAGTGAGGCCCCCCGAGAAGCTCCTACACGGCGGACCCTGCCCTCATCTGTCTACCTTGAAGAGAAGTCAGATGAACAGAAGAAAGAAGAGGTGGGACTGCTGGCATGGATATGGGTCAATGCAGCTAGGCATCAGTGAGAAACACAAGACCCCATCCATGACTCCCATAGAAACAAAGTGTGAATCAAAGCCAGTAGCTGGCAATTGTCCCTTCAAAACACCTCCCTCCCAACTATCTAGAATGTTGATTCACACTGAAGTTTGGAGGAAAGGCACTAGATTCTATATCCTTCTCAGTCACTAATTCCTTATTGCTTCTGGTCTTGCCCCAAACTATTCCTGACTTTTTAACCTTTGGTTTACAGAAATGGTCACTGCTACCCACAGTCTAGTCCTGCTTCTCTGAGCTGCATTGGGGGGGGGGTCCCTGTTGGTGCCTGAATTTTTCCTGATACTTCCCTCCCTCCTTTTATTTTTTCCTCAGCTGTTAAGTGCTATGGTGGCAAAACTGGGTAACCGGGAGGACCCCCTCCCCCAAGATTCCTTTGAGGGAGTGGACGAGGATGAATGGGTAAGAACTCAGGCAAGGGGTGGGGGTGGGGGTGGAGGGCCTCCAGGACACAGGCACAGCTCACCTGGCTCTCTGCCCTGATGACTCCTGGTTTACCTTCTGTTCTCTTGCTCCTCCTTATCCCTCCTCCAGGTTACTTCCCTTTCCTCCCCTGATTCCCTTACCTCACCTTTTATCTCTCCCACCTGGGTTCTTCTCTTTCCAGGACTAGTCCACTCTATCAGCCACACCCACCGCTGCTTATCCTCTGGAGCTACCTGGCCTGCCCTGAGCCCCATTCTTGAGCTGCAAGATGCCTCTCTCTCCAGGCCGTGGTGCTGCTGCTGACCTGTGGAGTGGCTCCATAGCTGACATGACCCCATCTCTTCATCCCAGGAACCTCTAGACTAAGATCTTTGGGATCTTAGTGTTTTCAGCTAGTGGCTGCTCCCAAGCTGATGTATCTCCGGAGTATCCTGGCTCCAGCTTTCTCTGAGGTCTCGTAGGCTGCAGTGGGAACACTCCAAGTGGGGCCTTAATTGGCCCTATCCTATTTCTCTCTCTTGGGACCAATTTTTCTTTTCTGCTACATTTTGTGGTCAGAAGCTGAGGAAGGGACATTGGTTAGCACTGCCCTGGGCCTGCTACCTGGCTGTCCCTACTATACATGACACCACTTGCCCTGTAACTATGTAAGTTACCGCCTTGCTCTTGAGAGCCTTGCCTACTCCTTCCAAAAACAATAGTCCCTCCTCCAGCTACTCTCCTGTTCTCTGTAGCTTATGGGTTAAGGCTTACCTTCTGTTTTTTTTCTCTTTCCATATTGCCTAGTCAGGATCCTTAAAGGGGCTGGATCCCCCTGTAGTCATCAATCCTACTAGACCTCCCATTTGCTTTTTTCCTCCAAACCTGAGACAGTGAGAAAAGAGTAAGAACAGGGCCCAGAGCACTTAAAAAAAATAAAAAAAAGGAATGTGAGCCCCACTAATAAGGGGTTTATGAATTTATCAATGCCTCAGCCATTAAATTTTTCTAAGCAAGACCCCCACCTGCCTCCTGTGCTGATTGTACCTGTTGCTCTGAGGTAAATCTGCTTCCACTTGTACAAGCTTCACCTTATCAAGACTGCCTTACTTATGGATAGAGTAACAGCCCAGCTGATGATTTGAGGGCTGCTAAAATAGAGGATGGGGCTTCCTAACCCATATTGGAATTCTCATGCCATGGCTCTCAGAATCCCCAGGAAGGGGAAAGGAACATAAAAAGAATAAGAGTGGAGCCAGGAGAACCCAGAAAGGCAGAGGAATACATTTTTTAAGTTTATATATTTTAAGAAAGAGCCTTTGGAAATAAATTTCATGTATTGATGAAAAAAAAAAAAAATCTGTTGCAGACTGGCAGCCAGAAAACACTGATAAAGGGGATGGAGAATGACACAAAATGGACAGAAACCGTTGCTCACATAAGACCTCTTTCAAGCAAATATTTATGAAATACCTATTTTATGAAGCCATGAGCAACACTCCCCTGGGAGATGCTTTATGCTCTGAAAACAAGAGAAAAGAACAATGGGGTCAGCCAGCAGCTCCTTGGCACATGGAAAATTAGGGTGACGCTGGGAGCCTGTTATTCTCAGAATCAAAACGCTGCAGATATGAGACTACAGAGGTTACTTAGTACAGCCAGGATCTAAACAAAACCCTACTCTATAAAACAAGTGTTCAAAGTAGAGCCTTTGCTTGAAGACCTGATGAGAGAGGGTGGTGCACATCACTTTCCAAGATAGCCTAGGCAACTTCAACTTCTGAACAGCTCTAATTCTTAAGGAATTTTGCTTACCTCAAGCTGAAATCTACATGTCTGCCTTTTTCGGCCATGCAGAACAAGTCTAATCAGTCTTCCCCGTGACAGCCCTCTAAATTCTTAAAGATATTTATCATGTTCTTCCTTCATACCCTCTCCATCTCCTCAGAATCTTCTCTTTTCCATGCTATCTTGGCTGCCTTTCAGTCATCCCTTGTTCACACCAGGTGACTAGCCCATCTTCCTATCACAATTTATTTTACTTCTGTTCTTCAGAGTTCCTCATAACAGTCCTATTTTGTAGCCTGTTCACACTAGCTACATGCTCCACCCCTCTGGGATATTCACTTTTAATTCTTCAGAGATTATTGTCTTCTATGTCTTGCTGCCATAGAGGCACACTGGCAGAATGTTGGCACTAAAAAGGAAGGGCCTTTGTTAATATCGTACCTAAAATATGGTGTCCAGAAATGAATACAATATGCTAGAGGTGACCAGACCAGGGCAGTACAGAATAATAATCACTTTCCTAGTCCTACATGCCATACCTCTCAGTGAAGCCTAAAAGCACATTTTTTTTTGCTACCCTAACAGAAGACTCCTGGAAGCTTAATTTTTTTGATGAACTATTTTTCATCTATATCTTCCCCATTTTTGTACTTGGGAAGATTTTTTTAAAACCCACATGTATATTTTTCCTATTAAGATAATATTTATCCCTGTTAAGTTTCATCTTAATAGATTCAGCCCAGTGTTCTAGCCTATCAAGGAGGAGGGGGGGAAGAATCTGTTAGCTACCCCTCAAATCTCTATGTTGTCCTCAAATTTGATAAGCATGCCACGTATGCCTTTATTCAAATCACTATTAAAAAGTTAGAGACATAAGGTCATGTATGGATTCCTAAGGCACTCCACTAGAGACTGTCCAAGATATCAACCCTTTAATGACTACTTTTTGGGTTCAGCCATTTAAACAGTTCTGAAAACAACTAACTGTATTCTTGTCTAGTCCACATCTCTCCATAATGTTCACAAGACCAGCAGGAAAGAATTTTTCAAATGTTTTACTAAATGTAAATAAATTATCTGCAGCATTCTCCAGATCTGCCAGTCTAAACAACCCTGTCAAAAAAGGAAATTGGATTATACTGGAAATACCTTTTTTATTTAATTTTTAAAATCTCATTTTCTTTTACTCCCCATCTGAAAAAGGGAAAATCAAAACCCTTTTAACTTATATAGAGTGAAGTGAAGTTCCTGCATTGTCTGTATCCAAAAATGTATGTCTCGATCTGCACCTGAGCCCATCACATCTGTCAGAAGGTCAGGGGCATGTTCATCATCAGTCCTCTAGAATTGTGGCGTGTCATTGCATTGATCAAATTTCTTCAATCTTTGAAAGTGAAATACCTGGGGGCAGCTAGGTAGCACAGTGGATAGAGCACCGACCCTGGATTCAGGAGGACCTGAGTTCAAATCTGGTCTTGGACCCATAACACTTACTAGCTGTGTGACCCTGGGCAAGTTACTTAACCCCCATTGCCCAAAAAAAAAAAAAAGAAAGAAAGAACAAAGTGAAATACTTGTTCTTAATGAAATGACCTCACCCCTCCAGGCCTTAGTTTCTTGGTCTATAAAATGACCTGGTTGGGTAAGTAGACCTTGAAGGTGACTAGCTTAAATCTGTGATCCAGTGCTAAATCTTGCTGGCTCTTTCTAATCATTGCTCCCTTTTCTAGCTGTTTATCATTAAAATCATTCTAGAATTCTGCCAGTAAAGTCAAGCTCACTGGGCTATGGTTTATAGATTCCATAATCTTCCTTTTTTGAAAATTAGGATATTTGCTCTTCTCCAATCCTGTGGAATATCTCTGATTTTTCAAAAGATAGTCAGCAGTCATATGTACTAGTTCCTTCAATCCCCTGTGATGCAGTTCATCTGGATCTGGTGACAGAAAATTATCAAGGGCAGCTGGATGTTCTCTTAGGCAGTGCACACACAGTGATACAGTGATTCCCTGGACCTGTAGTCAGGATGACCTGAGTTCAAATTCGGCTTCTGGCACTGGTTGTGTGACTGAACAAATCACAACCTCTCTCCATGGTAAGGATGAAATAATATTTGTAAAGGGCTTTGCAAATCTTAAACCAGCTAGTTCCATATGTATCTGGTGTCTCAGTTTCAGTCCAAGATTATTCTTCTTTGCAAAAAACACTGAATCAGAGTAAGAATTGAGCAACCCTGACTTTTTCCCATTGTCTTTAATCACCCACTTGGCCCTCAAGTAATCTTAATCATTCTTTTATTGTCCTTCTTTCTTTAAACCAGCTCTGTCTGTTGTCCTAAGACTTCCTGGCCTCAATTAATTCTACTTAAGCAATCAGTTCCTCCCTGTTGGTAAGAATCAGGGAGAGAACTACAGTTCCCCCTGCTTCCTCCAATTTAAAAGGATAAATTAAGTCAAACCATAAAATTATTACATCCCCTGCTTTTAGTAGAGAAAAACCTCATTATTACTATATCATGCCTTCATGTGAAACTCATGATCTTTCTTGAACTTCTTTCCATTCAGATAACTTTTGGTATAGTCCTATGGAAATATTATTTCTTAGGATCATAGATTTAGAGGTGGAAGGGACCACAGAGGTGAGTCCAATCACTTAATCTTACAGAAGAGGAAACTAAGGCTGAGAGAGATGAAATGAATCAACATGGCACCAGTAGTTAAAAAGCAAATATAGATAGGATTTAGGTCCTATATTCAGGTCCTCAGATTCCAAAGCCAGCATCCTTCCCACTATATCACACTGACTCTGATCTTCCCTAAAATTTTATTCACAAGCTACTCTGGTTCCCACATTTCCTCACAAATATATCTTCTCAATATATATAGTGCTACACTATACACTATAGTGCTCCCCCCATTCCCTTTTATCTACCTTGTTACTTTTGAATAAGGAATAACTTTCCAAAGCCATATTCCTGTCATGTATCCCAATCCACTGAGTCTCAGTGATCCCTAAGGTCAAATTTGCTTGGCATTAGGAATCCCTAATTAGCCATACCTCTTAAGCATACTTTCTTCTCTCTTTTTTTTTTTTTTTTTTGATTTTTAGGCAATTGGGGTTAAGTGACTTGCCCAGGGTCACACAGCTAGTAAGTGTCAAGTGTTTGGTCTGAGGCTGGATTTGAACTCAGGTCCTCCTGACTTCAGTTACACATACTCTCTAAAGAAAGTCTGCGCATAAACATCTGAGGTTATGAGCTTCTGTCTTGGATTTTTGCCTCTTGTAAACTCTTGGGAGATTGATACTATTTTTCTTTATACATTGTAAATATACCACAAGTTTCTCACTCCTCCATTTTTTTTTCCCAGTTTAAGGTCCTTTGTAAATTTAAGGCTTTTTAAGACATTTTTTACCAGCCCTTGGAAGGGGCATTCTATTCCCTGTCAAGAGCCCGTTATTCCTAAATTTTAAACACTTTGACAAATCTTAAGTCCTCTTTTTAGATACCATCTTCTTAATTCAAATCTACCTTTTATCTTTTGAAGCCTTTACCTTGGATCAGCAACAACGATCTGGTACCTAGCACATAGCAGGCATCTGATAAATGCTTATTGCTTGATCAGAACACCTGTGCCCCTAAAGTTTTCAGTTTTCAGTTTCTTGTCCAAGACCTCATGATCCTGGCAACACTTTTTATATGAAACGCTTATGGCCCACATGAATCAAGTGGGAAGTAGTCACCAGGATGGTGAAAGGCTCTGAGTCCACATCATGAGGATCAGATAAAGGAACTAAGGAGATTTATCCTGGAGAGACTCAAGGGGCACAAGACAGCTGTCTTCAAAATATCTAAAGGGCTGTCACATGGAGGAAGCGTTAGGTTTGTTTTGTTTGGTCCTAGAGGGCAGAACCAAGAGCAATGGATAGGAGTTACAAAGAGAGGTCCCAACTCAAATTCTGAATCTCTGACACATGTCCGAGTACAACCGCCAGCTTCTCTGGTGGGAAGGTAAAGGCTGCAGACACCACTACTGCCTCTACTTTCTCTGACCTTCACTTCCACATGTCCAAGTAAGAGGAGGCCTCCATCGGTTTTCATTACATCTCCATGCTGGGCTTACAATCCATTTCATACAATCATAGATCTAGAGCTGAAAGGGACCTCAGCAAACATCTAGTGCTGTCTCATTTTACAAAGGAGGTAACTGGAAGCCCAGGAAGGTAAATTTCCTTGCCCAAGGTCACTCTAGTAAGCATTTAAGGAAAGATTTCAATGTTGATCCTGTGATTATGGAATCAGTGCTTTTTTCTTTATACCAAGCTACCTCCCTAACTCCTCAGCTGTTTCTTCTTTCTGTCCAGCTGATCTGTAGTCCATAATCATTTTTTATGTCGGATAGGATGCTGAAATTGGTATTTGGAAAAACCAGAATTCAGATCCTTTATCTGACACTAATTGTGTAACCACCTCACCTCTCTAAGCCTGTTTCCTTAAAAGAGGGGCCTCTTCAGCACCTGACTTGACAGGGTTGTGTGGCTCAAGTGAGACACTGCATGGAAAGTAAACCTTAAAGCACTACATACTGGCAGCTAGGTGTCAAAATGGATAAAGTCCTGGACCTGGGATCAGGACCCGGAAGTTCAAGTTACTTGGCTTCCGTTTGCCTCAGTTTCATCATCTGTAAAATGGAGATAATAATAGCACTTACCTTACAGGGTTGTTGTGAGGATCAAATGAGATGATAAATTGTAAAGTGCCTGGCTATTATTATTCCTTGGGACCTCTGGTCTCTGAATTTCCTTTACATTAATATCTTGATATATTAATAGACATATTAATATGGTCTATCTTACATATATACTGATGCTATTCTTCCCTCCTTCATATCCTCTCCCCCTTTTACCTATTCTATTCATTTCGAGCAACAGCCATATTCCCAGAACCTTATTCCAGAGCCTACCCCACCCTAGCTGGTCCAATATTCAATCTCCCATTGTGTGGCTGAGGAGGAGAGTAAAGCCTGGAGCAGGAAAAAGAAATCCTTAGGTACCCCTTACTGATGGCAGGTGGAAGAGGGCTTTAGAAGAGCCTCAGCCTTCTCTGGAAGTGAAAAAAGGGTGGTGCCTGAAGGCATATTTCATTACATCACTTATTCATTTCTGAATTACGCCAATAAATACTGGAGCTCTTGACCTTTTTTGTGTGTCAAGGACCCCTTTGGAGTCCTGCTGAAGCCCATGGACCCCTTCTCAGAATGAAATGCACAAAATAAAATGCATAGGATTACAAAGGAAGCCTACTAGGTAGTGCAGTGGATCGAGCCCTAGCCTTTAAATCATAAGACCTGGGTTCAAATGTGACACTAGTTCTGTGACCCTGCACAAGCCACCTAACCTCTCTGACTCAGTTTCCTCATCTGCAAAATGGAGTTGTTAATAACCCCTTTTCCCTCTTGGGTTATCGTGAGAATATTTGTAAAAGTGTTTTGCAAGCCCTAAGTTAGCGCTATATAAATGACAGCTATCATTGTTACGAAGTTGAAATAGTTACCACGCTATTTAAAATACAAGTGCACAGACCCCGCCTGTCGTAAAGGACTAACGCGCTCCTGAAGAGGGCTAGAGATCGCTGTGCTTCCCCTCCCCTCCCACCCCCGGCGCCGATTGATCTCTCCATCGCAGCTCTCCCGACAGGAGCACGAGCATCTCGCCAGGCCTCCGCTGGTCCAAGGTCTAGGAGGCCGGGCCCCAAGGTCACCACGGCTCTCCTCGAGACAGGCGGCCGGCCAACGGCAGGATCTCCAGCCTGCCGGAAGGCCCGCCCCTCCTAGTCCAGGCATCACTTCCGGCGACCCCGCGACCCCTGCTCTCTGCAGGCATGCGCATCAGCTCGCGAGGGAAGCAGTCGGGGCGCCGGAGCTTCTCCTCCTCCTCGACCTCTGACCCGCCACCCTTCAGCCGGGGCCGCAGCCGCGGCGGCCGCCGCAGCCCCGAAGGCCGCGTCCCGCCACCATGGTGAGCTCGAGGCCCGGCAGGGAGTGGGGGGCGAGGGGCTGGGGGAGCGAGGGGCCCCGGAGGGCCGTTTCCGACCTTCCCTTGCGGGGGTGGGGCGGGGAAGGCCCGACATCGAGAGTTGGGAGACAGGTTCGAGTGCAGACCCCGCTGCTCCCTTAGCCGCGAGACCCTGGGCACGTCTCCTCCACCCCAACACACGCACGCATCTCGGGGCCTCAGTTTCCTCATCTGTCACTGGGGCTGGACCAGATGACTGATACTCCCCGCTTCGTCCACTTTTGCCCGGCTCGTTCCCATCTGAGAGTCCGGAGGTGGAAGCTCTCGGGAGCCTTCTCCCCCAGCCCCCCACCTCGGAGGGCTCAGCGGTCCCCATCTTCTGGAGGGGCTCTCCAGGCCCCAGGCAGGTCCAGAGTTTTTCAGGGGATAGTGGGGGTGGAGGCTGGGTATCACCTAGCAGAGAGAATAACGATAATAGCTCATTAGAAAAGTAGCTTTCCTCCTAGCCCTTTGAAATAGGGGCAGTGCAAGTATGATTATCTCCAAGGGGAAACAGGAGAAAGGACTTGTCCAAGTTCACATAGCTAGGTCTCCCTGACTCCCAAGTGCAGGGCTATTTCTCAACTCCAGTGGCCTTGCTTGGAGATGAGAAAGACTGGGAAAGTGTTGAGGGAGCCTGTCTATGGTGTTCACCAATGCAAAAGCCTGATATAGTGTAAACAAAGACCCTGGTCTCAGTTCTGCCTTTGACTTTCCCTGTGACCTTAGGCAAGTCATTTCTCCACTCTAGGCCTCTGTTTTGCCATCTGTAAAATGAGAGGTCACAGGGTACCGATTTGCAGCCAGAAGGGACCATAGAGGCCATCTGGTCTGATCCCTTCTTTTTTACAGATGAGGAAATTAAGGGCCAGAGAAATTAAGCTAGTAAGTGCCAAAGTTATCATTTGAAGAGGTCATTTTTCCTGTCTCCAAGTCCAGTATTCTATCCACTATACCACTCTGCCTCTCTAGGGACAGGATAAGATAATCCCCCTCTAACATTCTGTCTTGATTGTCAAGTATACTGGAGACTAAGTGGAACTAAGCAAGGCAGATAGCTTCTGAACACCAGGAGAGCTGTGGGAAAGAGAATAAACAGGGACCTCTTGTGCATTTCCTAATATATGATGGTGTTGATTAGGTGTTGATTAGGGCTGGCTCTTGATATTGTGGAAGCTGTGCTTGAATAGGAGAAGGTACAGCTGGCCCTTTTCTAGGTCTCACTTCTAAGATAGAGATATTGAGTGAGACATGCTGTGTCACTGTTGCTTCAACCTCTTCCATTTGTCACTGTCAGGCTCACTCCTGTCATGCCAGTGTCTTCCAACCTACATTCAGTGTTGGAGGCTGCTGCTTCACTACTCTGAAGACCCTTCCCATCCCCCTACCCCACCCCCAAAGGCTGTTCTAGTCTGCTGTCTTTTTGGTCTGTGGTACCAGGGTTGAACTCTGTATTGAGTTTGGGAAAATGAACAGAAGGCTGTGTTACTTACTGATCCGAAGCCAGATGTACAGCTTGTTGTCCAGGTTCCAGGTCTTGCCTCCAAATGAATATTCTCCCTGGATGTATACACTCAGTCTGGTCTGAAGTTTGAGGCTTCATTGGTGCCACATTTTACTTGCTAATTTCCCAGATAGCAATCTGGCCTACCTAGCTTGATTTTTCTCTTTTCCTGTCAATCAGTGCTTCATTATACATGATTAGAATTCAGTGGCCAATGAAAATCTTTGCATGTAGGGTTTCTCTGAAGCAGGTTTGTTGTCAGTGTATATCATGCTATAACAGTTCTGCAGGATAGTATGTATGTGGTGCATTTGCATAGTTTCTGTGCTTCAGAAGTGGAGCACGTCACTGTTTCATCTATTTCATCTATTTCATCTATGAGCTATTAAAACAGTGGGACAGGATTACCACCGATCAGGTCCTGCAATATAAACAGGCTACTCACACTAGAGTGATGCTTGGTGATTATCAAAGGATGGCCTGAATCAAATGAGGTAATGAATGGAAAAATACTTTGGAAAGTATTTAGAGTTTTACAATATAAGGTGATTTAATCATTCAAATTTCTATAAAGCACCCACTTTATGATTAATAGTGGTAGTGCACTGAAAGTCTACTTTAGTCAGTGAGCTGACTGGTTCTCAAAGGCTAGGCAAGTAGTATTCAAGGGCTGGCACATCCTACCAAGCTGGAAGGGCTTTGTGTATGGCCCAGTGACAGACTGTCTTATCTGAGGATTGGCTAGCTAAGTGTAGATATTTATCACCAAAAGGTTAACTGCCAAATGATGAATTGGGAGAGGCACAGCAACTTCTGAAAACCATCTGATGAAGCATGGAGGGTTCACTGCCTGCATGTGTTATCTTAGATAACTTCTGGGGACCCTTCCAGCTCTAACTCTGTGATTCTGTGATCCCAAGTCTCCTCTTTGGAGCTTCTGCTTCACAAGGCCCATTCTTTACGGTTGGAAGCCAAGCAGGTCTATCAGGTACTGTCCACAACTACAGTATATCAAAGGCTGAATTTTACTCAGCCTTTAAATTAATTTAAAGTCCTGGATAGGGGGAAGGCTGAGAATCATTGGGGCTGAAAAAATAATCATCTAATCCAACTCCCTCAGTTCAGTTCACTCCCTTAAGTATTTATTAAGTACTTAATATATGCTAGGTACTGTGTCAGGACCTAGGAACAGATACAAAGACAGTAAGACAGTTCTTGTCCTCAGTGAGCTTACATTCATAGAGGAAAACAACAGGTAAACAGAAAAGCAGTTACAAAATAGATATAAAGTGATTTCTGGAGAAAAGCACCAGTAAAGTAACCTCAGGGATCAGGATAGGCTTCTGCAGGTGAGGCTTGAACTGAACTTTGAAGAGAGCCACGGATTCTCTGAAGTAGGGTTTAAGGTAGAGTAGGGGACAGCCTGTGGAAAGGCATAGACAAAAGATAGAACATAAGATTAGGGAATGTAGAGTATTTGAAGAAGAGTCATATGCAGTGTGTTTGGCAAAGTAGCTAAATTGCCAGCCTGAGAGTTAATATTTTATCCTGAGCAGAGGAATGACATGGTGAGATTTTTGCTCTAGGATTGTCAATTTGGCAGCTATATAGAAGATGGATAGGGGTCATACTGGAGGTAGAGAGACCAATTAGATGGAGACCAGATTGTAGGCCAAGAGAAGAGGACAAAAACAAGCAATATTTCAGAGGTAGAATCAACAAGACTAGGCAACTAATTGGATGTGAGGGGGTGAGTGAGAATGACTCAGGATGTAAACCTGCATGACCGGGAGGGTGGTGAACTATGGGGCACTTGTCAGAAATAGGGAAGTTAGGAAGAGGAAAGGGTTTGGGGGAAAGTAATTAGTAATCTTTTGACGTGATGAGGTTGAGGTAGTTATGGGATATTGAGTTGGAAATGTTCAGTGGTCAGTTAGTGATGCCTTATTGGAATTCAAGAGAGTGACTAGAAAGAACTCTATGTAAAAATCTGGAATTTGTCTCCATAGAGATGAGCCCATCGGAGCTCCAAGATGAGATCACTGAGAGGGAGAGAAAGAGAAGAGAGTAGAGAAAAGGGCCTCGGACAGAGTTCTGGGGTACCGAAGCAAAGGGAGTGGGTTGCAGATAGGATGTAGCAGAGGAGCCTAAGAAAGAGCAGTCAGACAAGAGAAAAAAAAAGAGAGCAGTGTCATGAAAACTCAAGGAGAAAGTGATCAACAGTGTCAAATACTGCCAAGAGGACTAGAAGGTTGAGAACTAAGGAATAACCATAGAATTTGGTGATTGAGATCATTTTACAGACGAAGAAATTGAGCCTTAGAAGGTCATGTGACTTGCCTACCGTCATAAAGGTATAATCCAAATCTGACCCCAGATCTTCTCCTGTGGGCACCATCTGCACCACCCTACCTCACATGGGCTCCACAAAGCTTAAACTCTGTTCTTTCTTAGAGTTGAAAGAATCTTAGAAATTCATCTAGTCCAGACCCTTACTTTACAGGAGAGAGCCAGAGAGGGGAATGACTTATTCGAGGGCACAGAGTTTGACAGTAAAACCCAGAGAAATAAAGGATGCAATGGAAAGAATGCTAGATTTGAAAGCAGGACCTGGGCTTAGGAGCCTTGGGTCCTCCAGAACTGGAAGGGACCTTAAAAGACATCTGTGATTCCAAATTCAGCAGTCTTTCTCTTCTGGCACTGTGACTTTCTAGGTCCGTAGCTTTGCTGTGTACTACCTTTGTGACTTTGTGTATGTGACTTAACTTGCCTTGCCTCAGTTTCCGCAGTTTGTAAAATTAGGGAGTTGGGCTGGTGGACCTCTAAGGCTCTGTCTAGTTCCAAATTTATACTCCTTTGATTCAGATCTCTTCATTCCCAGTTCAGTGCTGTCTTCACTACAAGGAAGGATGATCTTAGTTATATAGCATAGGAAGTATTTTTACTTCAATTTTACGTTCAATTTTTCATCCATCCTCTACTCAGGTAATCATTGTCAGTAACATCATGGTCATCACATTTTAGAGCTAGAAAGAACATTAGAGAGCATCCAGTCTAGCCTCATTTGATAAAGGAGGAATCTCCTGATTAGAAGGAGATATATAATCTATTTGGATGCCTCATTTTGTTGAGAAGGAAACCATGGGTTCTCTTAGAAAATGTCAATGGAATCCAATCTTTCTGGCAGGTCTGCCTGGGAAGGCAAGCCCCAGTGGTGCTATGCCTGTCATCCTAGGGCCAGCCTCGCTCAGTTAGACAAGGTTCAGCTCTAGGTCAGCCACAGGATAATGAGTTCATTGGCCAAAGCCATCAAGTTTTAGAAGGAATACACGAATACCAGCTGAAATCACAAATCCTTGAAATGTGTGACACACTTACTATGTCTGTAGGTTTGTGCTGGGGAGGACAATTAAATTCACAAACTGTCCTATTAAGTCTTTAAACAAATAGCTAATTGTTAAAAGTTACACAGTGCTTTGATCATAGGTATAAGTAAGAAGAAGTGTTAACAGAGCCATACTTCCCAGTGGGAAATGGAAGACTTGTGAAGGTCAGACCTACTTGTGAAATCCAAACATTCTCTCATTTATTAAGGCAAGGCCTGTCAGATGCATAAACAACTAAGTTTGGGGTGTTCTTCAATCTGTGGCTTATCTGGGACATAGTACTATACACCATTAAATTATCTGTCTTCCTTCCTCCATCTAGTAGTGGAGGCTTGCATCTTCATTTTCTCTTTATTTCTGATCATTGGTTAATTTACACTCTTCAGCAGAGTAGAATTCTTTTCTTCCCCTCCTGTCAAGCCTCACGGTACTATGCTAGACCTGCTGTTGGTTTACTTGGAATGGGCAACTCGGCTGAAGCAGGAAGCTTAGGAAGTTAGGAGTAGTGGTCTTCCCAGGACGTTGAGAAGAGATCAGCTAAAGGCCTGTGCTCTTGTGCTTACCTGAATTCGTTGGCTGCAGCTCTCTGGTGGATGCCCAGTGGAGAGCATCCCCAGACTTGGGCTCCAGAGCGAGAGTGCCCAGCGAACCTTGTTGACTGACTGCTGGTTTGCCCACAGGCCAAATACCTAGCTCAGATCATCGTGATGGGGGTGCAGGTGGTTGGAAGGGCCTTTGCCCGGGCACTGCGGCAGGAATTTGCAGGTAAGCAGCATATCCCCGAACCAGATTTCCAATCTCAAGAGGATGTGATAGCACAGAGCTGTGGACTGAAGTCAGAGACCTGGGTTAAATCCCAGCTTTGGCATTTCACAGTGTGACCTTGAACTGTCACTTAGTCTCTCAGCCTCAGTGTTCCCTTCTGTAAAATGGAAATAATAATACTTGCACTCCTGCCTCAGAGTTGTGTGAGGAAAGCTCTGTAAGCTGTCAGTATTATTCCATGTTCTCTTGAGTTTGAGGCCATACCATTTAACATCTCCCTTATTTCAAACACATTCCATAACTGAGGCCCAGTGACACCTGCACCACTTGTGATTCTCTGAGCTGCTGCCACAGGGCAGAAGGGGCTGAAAAGACAGGAAGTCTTTTTGAATAGTGGCATTCTTGGTGCTTTGTCTCATGATGGCAAAGGCCTTAGGGCAGAGACTGCCCATTGCAGTGGGTTATCAGCTTCCAAATTCACTTGGCTTCAGATAAGAGAGACTCTTATGTTACCATAGTATAAAAGAGGGGGAAACAAGACTGACCTGGGGAGGGGCAGGGGTGTGTGAGGTAGTAAAAGCCCAGGATAGATCATCACATTTAGGGGTTCCTCATTTCCCCTGATGTTTTTATGCAGAGCAAATGTGATTATGCTAAGGATGACTCTAGGGGAAAATAGGAAAGGGAGTGGGATAGCATTGGAAAGGGACTGACTTTTGTGGCCCTAAGTGTTGCCCAGATTAGCTGGCAGCATTGTGGAACGCTAGCCCTGCCATGCCCAATGGCCTTTTCTTGGCTACCTTGGTTCTTGGGCTTCCCTCTATTTCCTGGCCACATAGTGTGAGGTTTCCAGTTGGAGTGACTGCTTAGAACTCTGAGGCTGGCCTGTGGGATTGCCAGGGGAGTGGTTATATGAGGCCAAGAGCTCATTTTGTGTCTGAACAGCCAGCCGGGCAGCAGCAGATGCTCGTGGGCGAGCCGGTCATCAGTCTGCAGCTGCATCCAGCCTTTCTGGACTTAGCCTCCAGGAAGCCCAGCAGATCCTCAATGTCTCCAAGCTGAGCCGAGAGGAAATCCAAAAGGTAAATCTAGAGCAGGGATGCCCAGCCTGTGTCCAGAGTAAAGGGGGGGTATATTGGCAAAGGAAGCCTGAACTGTTCGGGAGAGGGCACTTAGGGATCTGCCCTCTCCCCAGTGGGAATCTTGACAGAACACATCTGGAGAGGGAATTGTGGTAGCAGCAGTAAGTTGAGTTTCCACCAGGCAAGCCTTCAGGGCATCCCTCAGGAGTTCCTGTCTTCGTGGCTTCTCTTGGGTTGTCATTATATAGCTGCAGCCATCTTTGGGCAGGCAGAAGCACTTGGGATTCTCCTTATATCCAGTGCAGCACATCTGTTAAGGTACCTCAAAACCATTTAATCCAGCTGTAACCAGGAAGAGACCCCAGCCCCCATTTTTTCTAGTAAACATTAAACTTACTATAAATATCCTCCTCTCCTTTTTTTCCTCAACAGAACTTTGACCATTTATTTAAGGTAAATGATAAATCTGTGGGTGGCTCCTTCTACCTGCAGTCAAAGGTGAGTGGCCTCAAGGCTTATGGAAACCTAGTTAAATTGAGGGACCAGTTTTGCCACTGGTGGGGGTTGGTGCAGATGGGGCTAAAAAGATCATTCATTTCCAGTCAGTGGAAATACAGCAAGTCCCAAACAGTCAACAAAGCAACGTTTTAGGCTTCTCTCTTGACGTCCCTGTCTCTGACCAGTGCCTGGACATAATGCATTTCTTCTACTTCTGTTCCAATGGAATGTTTTCACAATTCAAACTAAACTCTTGCCATGAAGAGTCTATAGTTAACCTTACGGTCTTGCCATTTTTGACTACCAGCGCATTGGCTTGTATGTTGTTGATGGATCAGCTGGACATATTCTTCTGTTCTCACTGTATTAGAATTTAAGACTAAATTCTAAACCAGTAGCTGGTTGTGTATTTGAGCACAGACTGTAGCCTTTGCCCTGTACTTTGCCCCTTTGGGAGCAGCCAGCACAAAGATAAACCATAGTAGAAGGGCCCTGGACAATCCTAGGACTTACTCATGAGATGAAAGCAGCATCCTAGACCTTCCCTGATACTTCAGGAAACTGGCCATAGGAGACCAGAATTCTGTGAGGGTTGGTAGATGGGATACAAGGTCTCCTTATGGCTCTGGAAAATCATAACTTGGAACTAACCAGAAGGACGAAGTGCATCCTGTTTGGGACCAGACTTGGGTGAGGGTGAATGGTAAAAAATACAAACAACAAACATCTGAAATGTTGGTTCCCCATCCTCCCCAGGTGGTACGAGCTAAGGAACGGCTAGATGAAGAGCTCAAAATCCAGGCCCAGGACGAGAGTGAGAGAGGGCAGCAGCCCAAAACGTGACCTCCTATCCTTGCCTATCTTTGCCTCAGTGTGAATTATTTATAGCTCGGTAATAAATGTCTTTTCTGCATTTTTTGGTACATGTGCCCAGACTCTAAAAGGCAGGTCATTCTTTTTTTGCCAGCCTTGGTTGGGGCAGGGAGTTTCTAGACTGGAAAAGGAACTGGAAGTATTTACCTCCACAATGTTGTACTGACAACCTCAACAGGGGCCAATAGTTGATGCTAGGAAGAAGCCAGAGAGCTTCATCCTCTGCCAGGGCTGCTGGGAGAGTTATTGCTGTATTTTGTCAAACCGGAAGTCTCAAGTTAGAGCAGTAACGAGAGGCAGGTCTTTGTTTTTTTTGCCAGCTCTGAGAGCCGACCTACTAGGTACTGACTGGCCCCTGACCCTCTGCAGTTTTCCTGGTAAACCTCTGCTTTTGCCTGTGCTTCATTGTCTCATCATTCTACTGTTTTCCCACTGATCTTGGTTCAGCTACTATCCCAAAAGGTGTGTTTTAAGAGTATTCTTGGGCCTTACATATGAAGTGGGAGTTTTTGGTCTGGGGCCTAGGAACTTGGTTTTTCTTATATTTTTATAATTGGTTTCCATAGCAATCCTATGCATTTTATTTTAGACATTTCAAAACATTATTCTGAGAAGGGGTCCATGAGCTTCCCCAGACTACCAAAGGGGTGTGTTGACACAGAAAGGATTAAGAGGCCGGCCCCATGAAGATCAGTTATTGAATAATTGAATTCAGACCTGGGGGGATCTTAAGAGAGTCTAGTCTCTCCTGTCTGTGTAAGGAGCAACTTCTGCCTTATCCCAAGCTTTAAATTGCCCCTGGACAAATGCAACAGTATTGTCAGTGATGTTAAATACTTTGTGCTTGTGGTGTTCTTTCCTTTACAACTCTAATCTGATAGCCACAAGAGCACTGAAAAGTAATTAGGGCAGTTGCTCTTAGCCCTATTTGACATGAGCAGTCTGAGGTAGGGAGGTAAAGCAAGCCAGTCATTCAAGGTAGGAAACAGGAGGGGAGGGGTAACTGTAATTCAGGCCTAGTGGCAGATTTAGAGCCCTCTGCTAGGCCGTCTCTTGCCTCAGGGGGCCTCTACTCACCTCCAGTTGCAGCCCAGTGGTTAATCACAGAGCCTTCCTCTTAGCCGGGATTGAGCTCCTACAGTCCCAGGTGAATGATTAACTAGGCTACTTGTGCCATAGTTACCTAAAAGGTCAAGAGAACCTGGAGGGAAGGGGGTCATCTCTCAACTTTGCCCGTTTCTGGGTTCTGATTCCCAGGGCTGCCTTGGGCTCCTATAAAGGCAACAGAGAGGAGCCCAGCATCTTTTTCTAGGCCCCTAGCATGTGGCTAGGGGGAGAATGCAAATTTGGGCATTGTGGAAATGTCCCATCCCTGGATGGTCCTACCTGTTCTCTGCTGTTGAACTCTGTACCTCAGTACACCCCCCCATCTGAGAAATGATCAACCCATGACTTCAGAGTGCTGTGTGATATGTGAGGTGAGGACAGACCTCACCTCGCCTAACCTCACAAGCTCAGAGACCCAGCTAGATTGAATCCTATGGATGAGGTGGATCTTGGTAAACGGCAGAGGTGGGTGTTAACATCTCTGAGGCTTCTTGTAGTGGGCCTAAGTGGGGAAACACGTGTTTTATTTGGTGTGATCTTGGACCCCATTTCCCAGCATACTCCAGTCCATGCAGGTCATCTTTGCAATTCACTTTTATTGTTTCTTTATAAACTTCCTCTCACATGGAGGAATATATTGTTATAGTCATTAGCTTATCTCTCTTTTTTTTTAAACTCTATGCTAACAGCAATGGAGCCAAGAGGAGGAAAAACGTAAGCTACAATAGAAAGGCACTTAGAAACTGTTAAAATACTGATATCTTGGAATGTGCAACAACAAACCAACAATGACAACAAAAAAAGTACACCGGCCCTTTAAAGCCTAGTCTATCACCAAATCACATGCTGAGCTAATGTTAACTCTTTTGAGTGCCATGTTGCTATTCTCCATGGGCTTGCATCTCAAACCACCACCCCCAACCCTTGATGGTCACTCCCGCTAGTCAGGAAGGGCAGATGCCCCAGACTAGGGGTAACTGTGGGCCCTAGCACTGAGCCAGCCAGTTATTTAAGGCCTGGGGCCCTTAGGTGGGGGATAACAGTGGGGTGTCTGGTTCCTAGTAGGGGACAGAAGGAGGGAGACCAGCTCCCTCCTTCCATACTTGGGTTCCCTATTCCGTGGAAAACCCCAGCTGCTGTAACCTAATCACAGTCTGGGATTTGAGAGCCCAGCAGAGGTGAGGGCCAGGACAGAGTGACCCCTCTGTAACAGAAGGGCAGTCAGGGGGAGCTGGTGGCACTGAGCCACCCAAACGAGAAGAGGCAAGTATAATCTAATAATGTCAGCACTGGAAGGGACTTGAGCAATCATTTAGTCCAACCCCCTCATTTTATAAATGAGGAAACTGAGGCCCAGACAAAAGAAGTGCCTTGCCTAAAGTCACAGCAAGTTTATGTGACAAAACATAGTCAGTGGCAGAGCAGGGACTTTTATATGGATCTCCTGACTCCCAGTCCAGTGTTCTTTCTGTGACACCAGGCAAGAGGTAAAGTGCCCCCCTTGGGGAGGGAGGCAAGCCAGTATTATGTTCTCTTGGGAGAGCCGTCCTGCTGCTTCATAGCTGGGATAGGGAGGGAGGGCGGAGAGGAATGGGGAAGGTAGTTATGGGAGTGGACAGGACCTCAGCCATCCTGCTGAGGTGCCCCCTCATCTAAAGGGTTTGTTTAGCTTATTCATGCCTGCAGTACAGGCCAGGCCTTCTCTGGCTCTGTAGAGTCTAGATGAGCTTACAGTACTTACGGTGCAGGTCAGGCAATTCCAGCCATCATCAAACAAATAGGAGGGGAGCACACCAGGAGAGCCGACCAAGAGACTCCCCTGCCTTTGTGGGGGAAAAAAATAAAACGCATGCAATATCCCTTTTTCTCTGGCTGTAGATCTCCCAAGTTTTACAAGGCCAAGGGGTTTGGAGCAGCACGGGGGTAGGGGTACGGAGAGGGAGAAAAAGAATTGCTTAGGCTGAGCCACTCATGGAAACAGTGGGGCTAGAATTCGGGTTTCCTAAAGCATAGCTCAAAATTCTTCATATGCTGCTGTCTGCCAACTGAATTCCTCAGGATCACAGATGGTTAACCTCCTCCCATGCAAGTTGATTTGAGACCACAACCCCCAGTATTCAAAGTTTCAACCAGGTGGCTCAAACCAAAGTTATCTACTGAAACCTGTTCTAGCAAGCTGGCTCCATTCCACTCTGAAATACCCCAGTGACTGAAGGCATGGACCCTTCGGGTGCTATTTTCACTTTCCTTCTGGTCCTGCAATGTAGCATGCTTCTGGCTGCCTCCACTGAACATCCTACCTAGCTACTGCCCTGCCTCCTTGCTGGTTCCTAATTCCAACAACCTTTTTGTTATCTTCCATTCTAATTCTCTAATGTGAGAATGCAGCCAGAATTCCTGGCTAGAGTTTAGACAATGCCTTTGCAATCTTCTGCTAGCCCCAGCAAAGGCTCAGCTAGCTTAGAACTGAATTCTCCTCTCGATATCCCCCCACTAAAGTCTAGGGGCTTAGTGGGTCTCCTGGGAAATGGATGCCCAAGGGAAGGTGATAGAATTCTAGAGGCAGCACAGCACCCCTAATGTTCTCTGCCCATCCTTTTCCCCCAAGCAGAGGTACTGTACAAAAGGGTAACAGCAGGGAACTTGGCAACTGAGCACCATGGCTGGTCTGGAAACTACCTCAGGACGAAACAAATACCTATATTCCTCTGTTGTCTTCTATGAGAATATCAGAGTGGTGACCCTGAGGAACCATAGTTGAACTCTTAATGTAACCTCAAAACAAAAGGGGTTCAGAAGAGGCAAATTCAGGAATTTCCAGGGCCTGCCTTCTCCATATTTGCCATCTACCTGCCATGGGAATGCCCCAGCCCTGTGAGCTGCTCTCCTTAACCACAGAGTTGGGTCTCAAGTTTTCTATCCAGCCAGGAAAAAAAAGGACGTGCCCTGAAGCTTGTTGGGGATGCTGCTTTATAAGAGGGGCAGGAGGGAGATAGGCCTGCCTTGGTCCTCTTCCTCAGCACAAAGTTAACAGAGCTAGGGGGAGCAGCCCTCCCACCCTACCCCTAGGGTGGGAGATACCTTGTCAATTAGCAGGGAGGGGAAGGGGGAGCAAGGGAAAGAACCTGTTCTCTCCATGGCACTGCCAAGGTCTGCGTCTGTCTTTCTCTCCCTCTGAAAAGTGGGTCAGAAGGAGAGGGGTCTGTAGATGTTCCCAAAGCTGGGCTGGGGCCAGCTCTGAAGAGGCGGAAGGAGAGGCTTGTGGGGGACCATTGGAATTCTCCTGGCCCGTGTAGTTCATGGTAGCCATGGGGTTGAAATGGCAGGGATGAGGCTTCCACTGCTAGAGTGGGATGCTATTCCTATGACCCAGCTCCCTCACATTCAGGATATGAAGGCAGCATTATCTGGCTGGAAGGAGAAAGTGATGGTGGAGCCTTACGACAGTGGTCAGTTGGCACCAGATAAACATGGGAAGAGCTGAATGCCAAAAGCCAGACTGTGGAGCAGCATTCCAAAACGGAAACTGAGGAGGGAGAGCAGAGTAGATTTGGTGCAGCATGGAAAAAGGGACTGGGTATTGGTGTTCCCTCCCTAAGAGAGTTGGGACCAGACCCTTTGCTGAAGGTAGAGGAGCTGGATTGGGAGAGAGGTCAATAGGATCCAAGGCGCTCGCTCTATGGGCCAAAAATTCACTTTTTTATCTGATGGGATTTACCTTTCGCCTTCCATGCCATCATTCCAGAGGTCATGGAGGTGAGGAGACCCTAGAGTGACCTGTTTTCTGTCCACATGGGTTTTATCTCTACACACAAAGATGAAGCCAGCCCCAGGCCAAGGCCTACCTCTTCCCCATGTGTCCTGGTTACCTCCTGCCCACCTCACAGGGACTAGGCCAGAGGATGGCCAAGTCCTAAGGCAGGACATTATTGCTATTTCTCAGAAGAATTTCCGTTCGTCACGACTGGATGAGGGGAGGAGTCTCTGTCCAGTCCTTTTCCCTCTCCCTGGCCATGGCTGGCCTCAGGATATCAGTTCACCACAGCTGGCTTGAGTAGCACAGAGCCTGGTGGGATGACCACCCAGCCAGGAGGTAGTGCCTCAGGACTAGCTGCTGAGTTCACACCTGTAGATAGGTCCAGCACAGTGCCTGGCAGCAGGGAAAGTCCATCTGGGCCAGACCGAGCACGGTTACCCTCAGTCCTCTCCCCAGGAATCTTGCGGCCTTCGGTGCCCAGAGCCTTGGCACCCACCACCCCTCGCCCCTTTTCACCCTCAGCCTTGCCCCCTGCAGAGCCCGCAAGGAGAGAAACAACAGGCAGGCTCAGCCCACTAGCCCCAAAGGGCGAGGGCAGCAGCGGGTTCTTAGCCAAGTTGAGGGGGAGTACGGGGCCTGGAAGACCAGGTCCTACACCACTGCCCCCACCACAGGCCAGGGTGCTGAGGTCAAGGGGGGCAGGTGCCAAGGGCAGGGGCAAGGATGCAGGCAGCCCAGGTAGGCCCGGGCCCCCAAAGAGTGCAGCGGGGTTGGGGATGATGATCTGTGCCCCACTGACATAGGGGCTGTCTGGGGTGGGCAGCTGTGGCTTAGGAGGTGGTCGGAGCTTCAGCAGCTCTTGCTGCTCGTGGGAGACGAAGTGGCCGTGGGCCTTAATGTGTTTGCGCAGGGAGCTGGGGTCTGTGTAGCGTTTGTGGCAGCCGGGCATCTTGCAGTAGTAGGGCTTGTCCACATAGTGGGTGCGTGTGTGCTTGAAGCGGTCACTTGAATTGGAGTAACGCTTGTTGCAGCCCTCGTAAGGGCAGATGTACGGCTTCTCCCCTGGGGAAAAAGGACAGTAGCAAGAGGCTGAGAGTGAGGAGTCCACCGACTCTTCAATAATAATGATAATAATAATAATAATAATAATAATGATAAATAGCTCTGATCACACATACGCACACACGCACGCACAGACGCACACATGCCAAAAAACCCCATTCAGTCTCCTTTGCCTAATTCCTTAGCTCAGCTTTCCAAGCACTCTACAACTGGATACCACCCTAGAGAATCTGGTGTTGACAACTGGATACTATATTTGGAGTTAAGAGTTGAGTTTGAATCCTGCTCTGCCCTTACCTATCTTTTGTTGTACCTGGTCTAGTCAAGGTGGCCTTCCTACCAATCCACGTAAATGATACTCCAGTTTCCATAGCTGGGCCTTCCATCACTATCTGTCCCCTGTGCTTGAAGCACTGCCTCTCCTGACCTCCACCTATTAGAATCCCTTGTTCCTTCAAGACACCACTCGACGGCACCTTCCCCACGAAGCTCCCCACTGCTAAAGTCTCCCCCCCATCACACGCTCCTTTCTGATCTGTGTCTGTGCGTGTCGTCTCCCCTGCTAACACGAATGCTCCCTGGGGACGAGGGACAATTCCATTTTTGACTTTGTGCCCCCAGAGCCCAACAAAGTGCCTGATACACAGTTGGTGCTTAATAAATGCATACTGATTGGTTGATTTTGAGAAAGCCATTTCATCTCCAGAGCTGTTTTCTCATCTATAGAATGTGGGAATGGGACTGGATAATCTCTAAGTCACCTCCTAGCTCTAAATCCTATGATACTGCTTTTCTAATTTTATCTTGATCACTCTCCTCATGTATATGCTACTGTCCAACCAAACTGGACTGTAAATTCTTTAAACAAGTCCTGACCTTCCCACCATGCTTTTGCTCACTTGGAATATAACCTCAGTTACACAGACTGTAGACACACAGAGAGGAAATCTTGCCCTGTCCTTCAGGGTCCAGCTCAGGCTCCCTGACCTCTGAAGCTTGAGCTGATCCCTCCCTCCTGTAAACACCCAGGACACCTTGTGCCTGTCTTTTGTCTTATATTGCTCCTGATTCATAATGGTCAGTACAGTGAGGGTAGCATCTCATTTATCATTACATTCTCCCTAGTGTTTGGCATTGTACTTTTTTTTTTTTTTTTTTTTGCTTTTTTGGTGAGGCAGTCGGGTTAAGTGACTTGCCCAGGGTCACACAGCTAGTGTCAAGTGTCTGGTCTGAGGCCGGATCTGAACTCAGGTCCTCCTGACTCCAAGGCCGGAGCTCTATCTGCGGCACCACCTAGCTGCCCCCTTCGGCATTGTACACTGCACACAACGGTGTATCTTGAACTATGTTGACACTGTCTTCCTGGTCCTCTCCCCACCCCTTCTCATGCCTAAGTGAGGTAAGTGAATCTTCCCTGTCCCTGATTACTCCCTCCTTCAGCCCCACCTTTCCCCTTTCTCTCATTTGAACCCTTCCCAAGCCCACCTGTGTGTGATCGGTTGTGAATCTTAAGGTTCTCTAGGCGAGAAAAGCTCTTGTTACAGGTGGGACATCGATGCGGCTTCTCATTAGTGTGAGTCCGGATGTGAATCAGCATCTTGTACCTTCCAGATCAAGAAAAGAAGAGCACCCAGTGAGCCAAGGCTGGTGGGGCTGAGCCCAGAGAGGCCGGTCCCAAGTAACCCCTACCTCGGGCTCCCTTCCCCACTCCTAGAGACATCCTGCTCCTTAATGAAGGGCCCCATGGGCCAAGGTCCCATGAGAACAACAGGGAACACGTTTGGCCCTAGAACTCCTTCACTTCTTCCCTCTCCCCATCATGTGCACACCTAGCATTGAAACCCCGGCCATGGCGGGCACAGCCCTCCCAGTGGCAGCAGTAGCCAGCCTCCTTCTCGGGTTTGACATGGAAATCATTGACGTGGTCCACCAGGTCTTGCAGCAGGTCAAAGAGCTGGTTACACTGCAGGGAGAGAAGAGGAGGAGCCATCAGACCCAGTGGGACTTCAGTGGGCTCCCTTCTACTCCACACACACCCACCCATCCTCACCTTGGCCCAGCGACAGACAAGTTGCCTTTGCAGGGGCACATCTGGAGAGAGGCACTTCTCCTTAGGTGGGGTGAGGAAGGAAGAGGAGGGCAGATGCAATGCACCCCCTGAGCTCAATGGCAAGAAAAACTGGAAGGAACTGGGAACTCCATCAATGTAACGAAGAGACTGGAAGTCCTGGGGAGGAGGGCAGAGAGAAGTTGGAAGAGAATGGGCAGCGCGTCTGGACGGTTAGTGACCCTGGAACACCCTCTCCACCATGGCCTCTTTCTGACTTCCCCCTCCCTCATAATGCCCCACCTTCACTTTTCCCAGGATCAGCTGGCCCTGTAGCTCTGGACCAGCCCGTTCCCCCTCCTACCTCGTCCCCCACCTCACTTCCCAGGAGTTTTCAGAGAAGAGGAAGATCACCCTAATGCCCACGTCCCAGACTCACGTGGGCAGCGGGAGTTGGTGGCAGGTCCCCATTACCCTGACGCTCAGGAGACAGGGAGGTGCTGCCACCCGGAGAGTCCAGTCCCGATGGGGGCGACAAGCTTAGATCCACTAGCGGTGCCGCTGAGAAGCGGCTGTCCCCCTTCTCGGGGAACTTGGGGTTCAGCAAGAATCCTGAGTGGGAGGGGAGGCAATCAGGGTGGCCCAGGACTAGAAAGAAGGGGGCAGAGAGTGAAGAGTCAGTGCCCTTCTCTCTCACAGCCCCCACCCACACACCTGGAAAGACTCAGACTTATCCAAACTCTCACCCCATAGTGACCACAGAAATGACTCCCAGGGATTATTTCAGCAATTACAGTGCTCCATTTCAAGGAATGAGTGTGTGAGGAAGAGGGAGAGAATGTACCAAAATGCGTACCCACCCAGGATAGGACATTGCTGTTTGCCTTTCTAACAAAATAAATACAAGGTAATTTTGGGGACAGGCCCTAGCAACTGCTGTTACTCGGTTGTTTTCAGTCACGATCAACTCTTCATGACCCCATTTGGGGTTTTTTGGCAAAGATACTGGATTGGTTTGCCATTTCCTTCTCTAGAGGATTAAGGTAAACAGAGGTTAAGTGACTTGCCCAGGGTCACACAGCTAGTAAGTGTCTGAGACCAGATTTGAACTCTGGTCTTCTTGACTCTATCCACTGAGCCATCCAGTTTGCCTTTCTAACAACTTGAAATACCCAGAAGTGGACATGGGCTTTCTTGGGAGGTGGTGAATTCACCATCACTGAAAGTCGCCAAGCAAAGTCCAGATAACTTTACGACTTGTCAGGAATATTACAGAAAGGACTCCGGTTTTGGTAGAGAGTTGTTTTTTTAGGTGAGGCAACTGCGGTTAAGTGACTTGCCCAGAGTCACACAGCTATTAAGCGTTAAGTGTCTGAGGCTGGATTTGAACTCAGGTCCTCCTGACTCCAGGGCCGGTGCTGTATCCACTGCACCACCCAGCTGCCCCCAGATTTGCACTGTGTGACCACTGAGGCCCTTCCAGCTCAGAGCACAGTTCCGTGCTGCCATTCCTGATCTCAGTCTGGCTGTCATTCGCCCCTGCCTCCTCAAGATCAAGCAATGGAAGAAACGCCTGGTAAACAACGCTGTGCTGGGAACGCTGACACAGCATGGGACTGAGGCAGCAGAGCTGGCTTCTGGTCCCAGATCTGCCAGTGATTTGCTATGTGACCTTGGACAAATCATTTCCCCCATCTTTAAAATAGAGGGCTGGACAAATGAGCTCCGAGGTGTCTTCCAGCTCTGACTTTCTAAGTTTCTTTTTAACTTTAGAGTTCTGTGTTCTCTGAATTTCTTCCTAGAGTTGATTGCTGCTTTCAGGTTTTCTGTGGCAGTCAATTTTTTTTTTTTCATGATACTTATCTACTCAAAAACAGCGTCATTCCTCAGTATTATCCCTCAATAGGTCATTACCCTCTAGGGATCCCTGCTCAGCTGAGGGACCGTACCCTTGTCTATCTCTGGGCTCAGGTCATGACCCTAAGCGGTCAAGGAGGCCCGACGGCTTCCTGGGAGGCTATCCCTCCCCTCTGCCCCACTCATTGGGGTACAATACCTGAAGGAGGGGATCCAGGGGACGCAGGGGCAGGGCCATCATCTACCAAGCCCAGCTCCCGGTGCAGGGTCCTGTGGCGGACACCACCCAAAGCCCACTCCTGCTTCTCTCGCGCTGCTCGAAGCTTGGTGATGCTCAGCTTCAGGTCCAGCGGCTCGTCCAAAGAGTGCATGGTGCCAACCAGGGGCCGGTGTGGCTGCGGCAGAAAGGTTCCCTGGCAGGAGGTAAGGGGGGGTGGGGGTGGGCAGGAACCTGTGGGAAGAAACAGGCAAGTAAGGAACTCCCTCTGGCAACGGTCCAACCTTCTTTGTGCAGCTACATGCTTCCCCATCTTCATCTTCCTAGCCATTGGGTTAAGGAGGGTCCTAGGAGTTTGGGGTCTCAAATTTGTTCCCTGGGAAGCCAGATACCATCACTCTTTAAGTATTTACTAAATATACATTAAGCACCAACTGTGTACAAAGAACTATGCCAGTCACTGAGGAAGATGCAAAAATAAGGCACAGATCTGCCTCAAAGGAACTCATAGTCTAATAATTATAGAGAGAGATAAGACCCACATACACCAATTAGAATGGGTCACAAAGCATAAAATGCTGAGACTGGATGGGCAACAGGTTGATTCAAACAGAAAAGGAGCAGCAAGGAGTGCTCCAGGAAGGAGAGGGCATTTCAGCCAGGCCTGGCAGAATTGGGAGAACGTGGAAGAAAGGAGGAAGGGATGGGAGGGTACTCCAGGTATGAGAAGCAAGGGACCCAGGGAAAAAATGGAGATGGCTCAGGGCAAAGAAAGAAAAAAAATTCAGTCTTTCTCCCACTAAAGAGGGTTAAGTCCTACAGGGTCAGCTCCCACCATCAGCAGTCCAACTGTATGGAACTTCAGAGACTGGAACAGAACCAGGAACTAAATACTGGCACTGGCCAAATCCAAATATTTCTTATGGAGCCATGAGCCCAACCCAAGTCTCTTTAGAAAAAGAAAACAAGGGGCAGCTAGGCGGCGCAATGGATAGAGCACCGGCCCTGGAGTCAGGAGGACCTGAGTTCAAATCCAGCCTCAGACACGTAATACTCACTAGCTGTGTGACCCTGGGCAAGTCACTTAACTCCAATTGCCTCACTGAAGAACAAAGAAAACAACAATCTGACCCATAACACTGAATCCATTCAGTCAGAACCCAATCAGAGCATCAGGACATTTTTTAGAAACAAACTTTATATAGTTCCAATCCCTGGTATGATGTAAACACCCATTCACTCATCTGTCCACTCAATCATCTTGGAACAAGTACTGGATTTGAGTCCCAGCTACAAGCCTTAAATTGTGTGACCATGGGCAAATTACTTCATCTTTCTAAGCCTCAGTTTTCCCATCTGTACAGTGGGGGTGTTGGACTCTAAGATGTGTTTCTGCTCCAAGAATCTATGTGGGAAACCCAGTGGGCAGGGTTAGGCAGGAGAAGGGGTAATGGCCATATTAGTGCCAGGAGGCTAAGAATCAGAAGCACATCACTGATTCACACTGGCCAAGCCCTGGCCACCTGCTGCAGCCATGGAGCCTGGGATATACATCTGTCCATCCACTTCCCCAAAGCAGCACCTGGGCTGGGCACAGTTACTTAACAACAGGTGGGAAGAGAGAGGGGCTGCCTTGTAGAACAAGGGGCGCTCATGCTAGGTCGATGACAAGGTCCCCAAGATCTCTACAACCACACAAGTTGCCTGTCCCCACCCTCAAGTGGCTCAACTAAACATAACCAAACTCAAGACCTAACTAAATACACAAAGGTATACAAGCCCCAACCCCCAGGGGTTCCAGAGAGATGAGGGGGGTCTCCCAGTCCTCAGGGGGGGGCAGGTCCTGCTGTTCCATGATACTTATAGACAGGATATCACAATGCACTTGTCCTGGGCCTTGTACCTTCTCACATTTCACAGACACTCTCCCTAAACCCCCCAATAGTCCCCCCACCCACTACCACCACCACCACCCTGAAGGAGGCAAGGCAGAGATTATTATCAGTATTTCTTAGGAGTAAGTGACTTGTCCAAGGCCACACAGCTAATTAGGAACAAAGCCAGGCCCAAAATCCAGGTCTCCCAAGGTCAGCAAAATGAGCCAAAGCTAAGCAAAGCCCCAGCAGGATGGGAGTCAGAAGCTCCCAACAAGGCAATCAAAGGCAGCCAAGGAGATCAGGATATGGGTGCAAGGAGGGGTCACCCCTGTAAGTGCCTGAGAAAGACAAACCCCAAAGCAGGGAAATACTGTCAAGGGGGAAAGGGGTGGGGAGTCAATGTTCCTAATCCTGCCACCAGGGGGCAGCTGGTGACTGTGGCACTCTTCCCGGTTAACAGACTTGGCCACACTCCAGGCTCCAGGGAGGACCTCAGAGAGACCTCTGCCAAGAGCCCAGGCTCTGGGAGGAAGGATGGGTGTGTGGGTGGCTTCTCTTGGGGCAGCTCCCCAGACTACAGTTGCTCCTGTCCCTGGAAACCGGGTCCCCCTCCCCTTCCCAAGGCAACTCTCAACTCACCCAGGCACCTCCTGGATGGATCAGCAACATGACTCAGGGGGTACTGGGGTGTGCACAACTCATTTATTTTGGGGTCCCTCCCAAATGAGGTTTGATCAGGGCCCCGGTATGACCCTTTGTGAATCTTAAAGCACTAGGTATTTTCATGAGGGTCCTCTTCGCGACCGAATGAAAGAGATGAAGCCATAATGACACGATTGGATTTCGGGCACTGGAACAGAGAAGCAAGGAAAAAGCCACAGCCAAAATATTCTAGGATTTGAGATTGCAAGAGATACAACCTGCTCATTCTACATAGGAGAAACTCAGGTTTCCAAAGTGATTTGCTCAGGGTCACACAGCTAAGTGGTGCCATAGTGCACAGAGTGCTGGGCCTAGAGTCAGGAAGACTCATCTTCAGATACTTACTTGCTGTGTCACCCTGGGCAAGTCACTTAATGCTGTTTGCCTCAGTTTCCTCATCTGTAAAATGAGCTGGAGAAGGAAATGGCAAACCACTACAATAGCTTTGTCATGAAAACCCCAAATGGGGTCACAAAGAGTTGGACACGACTGAAAGGCCTAAACAATGCACAGCTGGTACTTTCCACTAATTCCATGCCATTTCCTTTTTATTTTGAAGAAGACTGACCAGGAATCCTCAAGTAACACCACCCCCCCCCCCAAATCAACCCCACTTATGAGTGAAATAGGCTGACCTTGCCATTCTGGTACCACTAAGCTCCTCCCCTCGTGTCTACAAATGGGGATACTGAGGCAGCCAGGAAGGTGATTTGCAGGGACAGACACCCCCACACACACTAACTGGGGCCCAAATCTCTTCCAAACCCTAGGCAGAGCTCCCAGGTCAAGCACAGGACATCTTCAGGGCCTTGGGAGAGGCAGGGTGGGGTCTGTCCCTTCCCCCCTCTGGCCAGCTGTCCCTCCACCTGTTTATTTTTAGCCCTGGGCTCTGGACCTCCCAGCAGCTCCCCCTGAGTGCTGGGGGCCCAGGCTGGGCAGGCAGGGAGCCTGGAAGGAGGAGGAAGGAAGTAAATATTTATGCTTATTAAGAATTCAGAAGCCAGGAAGGCCTGGGAAGGCTGGTGCCCCCACCTCCCACCCCCTACCGCTCTCTCTGTTGGCCTCCAGCCACAACCTCAATCTAACCACCCCAGTGGGCCCCAAGTCAGAGGGCCCCCACCATGAGGCCTACTGAGAGCCAGTACATTTCTAGGTCCTTTAAGGAGATTTTGCAAAATTTGTCTTGGAGGATGGGGAGAGAATGTAGATTTAAACTCAAATTCCCTACCAATAACATCTCCCCCAATTAACAACACCTCCAGTATTCTTCCCTCCAGATTACTATCTCTAGGATTAACCCCCACACAGTAACACCCTAGTAATCTCCTCCAGAAATCTTGGAAAGGAACAGTTCCTAGGAACCAGTCCCCAGGAAGCACACTGCACCACCCCTCCCAGTGTAACATCTCCCAATGACCCTGAGAACAAATAACATTCCCCTAATAACCTGGTCCTCTCCCTTTCACCCCCAAGTAATACACTCCAGTAATCCCCAGAGGGACAGCCTTCAAAAACTCTAAGTCCCTCCTAGCAACACTCTCAGGATAAAGCTACTCTCACACACACACACACAACCCCCCACTATCCCCAGATGTCCCCCACTCTCTGGCTTACAAGGACACAGTCCCTTCTCCCAACCCCCAGCTTCCTGTAACTCCACCAGGCCAGAGAAGCAGAGGCCAGAGGGGTTCATTAAGCTGGGAGCAGGAGGCTAGCCCTACCCAACCCTAAGGGCCCTCCCCCCTCCTTCAGTCCTGGGAGCCGGAAGAAGCCTCCCTGGGTCCTAGCTGGCAGCTCAGCCACCCTCCCACCCTGCTCCCTGCTAGCTCCCCCAGGTAGACAGGAAGTGACCCCACCTCTCCCCCCTCCCCCTCTCCAGCCACGACCTTGGCAGTAGCTTCCCCCCACCCCACCCCAACCAGTGGCAGCCAGTTCTGGGCCCTGGGCTCTCTCGGTCCTGGCTGGGAGGGGAGGCTGAGTGTGTGTGTGTACAGAGGAGGTAGGGCCCCGAGCCAATAAGACCTCCCTAGGATTTATTCTTTCCAAAGTTTTCACATTCACATCCTCCAGAGACACAGATAGAGCAGGGATTGTTCTCCCCATCAGGCAGATGTGGAAAACGGGCCCCAGGGAGTAAAAGGCTTTGCCCGAGGTCACTTGACAGATATTAGCAGAGTAAGTCAAAATGACAGAGTACAAACAGCCCTGGGATTTGGAGTTCAGAACACCTGGGTTCAAGACCCTGAACTGCTCCTTCCTGTGTGACCCTGGAGAAGTCACCTATCCTCTCTGACCTTTCGGGTTTCCCCATCTATAAAATCTCAGGTTTTTTTCCAGCTTCAGTTGACCCTGTGAACCAGGATTTAAACCCAAGTCTCCTGACTACCAGCCCCCAAGCTGTTTCCTAAAGGAGCTCTGTCAACCTGAGGAAATATTCCTAGCCCTGCCCTCGGTTTTGGGGACCCCCGGGGAGGAGCAGTAGGGAAAAGAGCATGGAGGAGTAGGTCAGCTAAAGAGCTTTCCCAGCTCTGCTGGGGAGGGAACAGACAAGCAGTTCCTAGACAGAGGGGGCTTTCATCCCCCTCCAGTGTGGGCCCCTGCCAGGGGCTGCAAGCTCTCAGGCACTGGAGGTGGTCGGAATCTACCACACCCACC